TTGCTGAGAGACCACTGGCTGTGATATTCCATAAACTAAACAGATACATCCATGGGGAAATCTGGACCTAGAAAATGTTTATTTACATTTATCATACCTATATCAGTACATATCAGTGTGATTAACCACTAGGCCTGGTGTGAGATGACCTGGGTTCTAACCCAACTCCATGATTTATAGTCTCTGTAATCCTGGACAATTTTCTCTCTGTGTACCAGTCCCCTCATCAGTAGAATGAAGGAAGTAACATTATGTAGCATAAAGTATAGTTGTACATACAAAATTAGATAGCCTATGGAAAGTACTTTGCATACCCATGACCTAACAAGCAATATTAAAATTATGATTTCAATTCTATTACTATTACTGCAAAAAGATACTTGAAGAAGATACACTGATAATGCTAATAGTGTGTCTTAAATTGTGTGGTTGTTGATATTTTTTAAGATATTTGTAGTTTGGGGGGTTTTTTTGCAAGTTTTCTTCAATGAACATGCTATTTTGAATTAAGAGGAAACTTTTCTAATTGTCAAATTATTTCCAAATCGGAAGCATTCTTTTGTGGAAGCTAAAATGCAAGTGATAATTCCTAAGAGAAAGTTTTCTTTAAAATCCTTTTAACGATTAAACACATGAATGCAATTCAAATTAGATTCTATTTCCTGTGATGCTATTCTCTGTAAAACAACTGGTAAAAAACTGATATGTTTTACTTATATTTTACCTTAGGGTACAACACGGGTGTAGAATGTTTGGGGATGTGTAAAACTAGATTCGATATTTGTAATGACTTTGTTTTGAATTTCTCGTGTTTAGCAGCTAATAATTGCACTTGAAATAATTAGCTCGTGATTTCTTTGTAATAGCTGAACACCATAAATCCTGTTCTGAAGGTCAGCGGTTAAAGTAAATATCCTCAGTGGAATAAATGTACCTTTTTCATGGAAGATTAAATAATATCAACTGAATGTGCAGTCTTTTAAGCAGAATTCTAAATGACGTCAAACTGATTCACCCTCTAATGTGTGCATCTTACATTCTTTTGATTTAGTCCCTATGCCCTTTTCTGTGCTTTCATTAGATGGAGAACCAGTCTTCTGTACTGGTAACTTTGGACCAGTTCATGTCAATTTATACCCAAGATTTTTCGCTACCATTTCTAATTCCCTTTTTTTTTTTTTTAAGATTTTATTTATTTATTTGACAGACAGCAATCACAAGTAGGCAGAGAAGCAGGCAGGCGGGGCAGGTGCGGGGGCGAGAAGCAGGCTCCCCGCTGAGCAGAGAGCCCTATGCTTCAGGGCTCCATCCCAGGACCCTGAGATCATGACCTGAGCCGAAGACAGAGACTTAATTCACTGAGCCACGCTGGTGCCCCTACCATTTCTAATTTCTTAATCTTTATCTTTACTTTTCTTGCTGTTATGTCCTCCTTTCTATCTAGTGTAACCTGCCACGATACTATGATCTTTGTTATAAAGCACGCCAAAAGAAAATTGAGCAGAAACATGAAAACACTACTTACTGCCCCATTCATAATCAGCTTATCAAATAATGAATTTACTGCAAAGATAAAGTTTTTTTCCTCAAAATACATTGGAACTCTTGTTTAAGAAATACCTCATGAGATTTTTTAAATTACTATAAATGTACTTACTGGTTTCTGGACACTGGTGCGATTTGGGATGGCTGTGGTGTCTGCCCAGATTCAAATGAAACTTGGAGCTTCATGTTACTAATCCAGCTGGGGGTGTAGTCTTGTTTTGTTGTTTGTTTGTTTGTTTTTTTCTTTTTTGTTTTTAAAGATTTTATTTATTTATTTGATAGAGATCACAAGTAGGCAGAGAGGCAGGCAGAAAGAGAGGAAGCAGGCTCCCCGCTGAGCAGAGAGCCCGATGCAGGGCTCGATCCCAGGACCCTGGGACCATGACCTGAGCCGAAAGCAGAGGCTTTAACCCACTGAGCCACCCAGGTGCCCTGGTAGTCTTGTTTTTGAAGATAAAATCTGGACGTTCTGGCAGACAATGGCTAGCTATTCACAAAATTAGATTTAATGAATAGGTATGATTTTAACTAGCCCTAAATGAAGACTGGGGGCAAAGATGGCTTTTTGTCATCCAGTCTCCATTCTCACTTGTTTCTGTCATAAATGAAACCCTCACACTGAATCTCATGGCTGCTCAGTCTGAAACCACATTTATAGCTTCCATTGCATCGGGCCACCATGTGACTACACTTTTACCAAAGGGATGAGAGCAGAGGTGATGTATGAAACCTCTGGTATGTGTCCTTGACATAAGCTTTTTGCTGCTACATTTTCTTTCCCCAGCCCCTGGAGCAGAATTTAGAAGTGATGGTAGACAGCCTTCTTCATCAACAAACATGAGAATGATGTTCTTGGGGCTGCTAGAGTTAAGAGGGGGAGCCAGGATTCCTGGATAAGACCGCAGACAAGAATCACCTGCTTTTCTGGTTACTCATCGCTTAGACGTCTACCTCAGAAAGAAAACTCTTCGCATTTGAGACACATTTATTTTGGTCTCTCTTGAAACAACCCGGCAATATTTTAAAATAATACTTGAGAACGTAAGAAATAATATTTATTACTGTAAGAAATATGTGTAGCATTTTTAGATTACAAAATGTTCTTCACTTTTCTCAAAATCCACAAAATCCTGGGACCTCACTATTATTATCGAAGTTTCACAGGAAGAAGCGAAGGCCTGGGAATTTTTGCTCTGTCAAAAGTTATGCCAATATATGAGTTCCAATATAACACACCTTTGAAGATACGCAGTTTAGTTTTGAGAATAACCAGTAGTAGCTCACGATTACTTCTGCTGTGTTAACTTTTCTCCTTTAAAATCTTTATCACTGCTAACACCTACTTTACTGGGTCCTAGCTGAAATCCTGACTCACATGTGACCTCCAGGAAGTTTCTTAATATCCAAAGACCTCAGTTTCCTCATCTGCTTCTATAAAGATGATGGGGGAGGGGAAAGGCAAATGTGTTTTTAAATAGCAAGCTGCATTTTATTCATGAAAATCAGCCTAGTGGCCCAACTGCAGAGTACCTAGTCAGGCTCATTTTATTTGAAAACCTTTAAAATGAGTATTATTATTCATATTTGAATGCCATAACTCATAGCATGCAGACACTATAAAATTTGGTTAGCAAGTTTTATACCAGCGGGAAATCAGCTCAGGAAGTATGGAGAAGGAGGCAGTGTGAAGAATCCTGATTTAACCACCTGAACACTTAGGTGGAAATGAAGCTGAACCCAGAGATAAGGACCATCTTGCCTTGCAGCAGAATCCCAAGAGGAAAGAAATGTTTACTACACTCTGTAAGTGCATAGTCGTTGAGGCAAGTGCTTCTTCTCCCTAAACTGAGAAATGGGCATTAAGAAAACCCTTTTAAGTAAAAACTCCTAGGTAGAGATGGAAAGTATGCTTAGGAATGTGGAGAGTGGACTACCAGGCTGAAAGGTGTTGCTGTTGGAGACATTTGATTTGATGCGGGATGGAAAGAAAAGCAGGCACACCTTCCCATCTCTTTCATGGATCCTTCATGTATTGAAATGATGGACATTTCTATCAGTTAAGCACACTAATATGGTTCATATAGTTAACTTATAAGAGATCAATGGCAAATTTGCTTTTATTTATCTAGTTAAGGTCTACTCATGTTACTTTTCTAGTCAGTCCCCAAATAAAACTAAAAATTACTTTGTCATTCAATTTTTATCCTTTGAAATTTAGTGGAACAACTACAAGTTTACTGGGGAGGGGAGTCAGGAAGAGTAAAACATAATTAACATTATGTTACTGTTTTAACTGAATTTTGCTTCCGTGAAAACCCTAGACAAATGCAAATCTGGTGGTAAAATGAACTGGGTTTGAATCCCAACTTTGCTGAAACGACTTGAGATTTTTTAAACTCAGTTTCCTAATCTGAGTTGTGAATAATGTGCAAGGTTATTGTGAGATTAGAAATGTTAGGCGTCAACTACCTGGCACTCATTAGCAAAGCATATAGATCATGTACTGATTGGCTCTGCTCCTGTGCTGAATTAATCAGGCCACAATAATCAGTTGGGTACAGTACTACAAAAAATCTGATCTAACAGTACCATGTTGTTGGGTAAGCTGAGGAGATATAGTATAGCTCATGCAGAATGAATGCCGACATAATGCTTAACTGCCAGCCCTTTAATGGACTTCTGTTGACCAAAATGAGGCAGCAAATAACAGAGAAAATGCGAGTATGAAGGCAGATGACAGTCTGGGCCAGTGGGCACATAGGCTGGGAGATATGCCTTGGTTTTGCATACAAATGGAGAACAGGTAACCTTTACACTGTTTCTCAAAAAATAGCTAGAAAGTGCTTGTTTTCCTTTTTTTAAGATTTTATTTATTTGAGAGAGAGCTAGAGAGAGAAAGCATGCACAAGCTGGGGGAAAGGGACAGAGAAAGAGAGTGAGAGAAGCAGGATCCCCGCCGAGCAGGAAGCCCAGTGCGGAACTCGATCCCAGAACCCTGGGATCATGACCTGAGCCAAAGGCAGATGCTTAACAGACTGAACCACCCAGGTGCCCCAAAAGTTCTTGTTTTCTTAAAGAACAGTGATAATCTTTCGTTTATTATCTGCAAAATATTACTCATCAGACACAAAAACAATCCTTTTCTTCCTCAATATAGTAGTGTACACTCAAACTTTAAGGCATTTCTGTCACTTCTTTTCAGGGGTTTAGCATCTTCATTTAGCTGATTAAAATCCATTGTAGATGATAATTATGCCAGCTTTTTAGAAAAATCATTCAAACACTCAAAAATGATTTTACAATCTTTAAATGGCTTGTATCAGATTTTTATTTCTCAAAGGGTTTCTACTTATGGAAAATTTGCTTAGATTATGTCCTTTTGTCACATTCTCAGTAAATGTTAAGTCAATGCAAAATGGGTAGATTTGTATTTCTAAAAATAACCTCTTTCACAGGAAGAAGAATTAAGGAAGAGTGGGGAAGCCAAATATGCCCACTTGAGTGATGAACTTCATGTATTAATTGAAGTGTTTGCTCCACCTGGGGAAGCTTATTCACGAATGAGTCATGCATTGGAAGAGATTAAAAAATTCCTGGTTCCCGTAAGTGTCTTTCATTTTTCACAAAGATGTTTCTCATAACTTTTTTTGTAAGTGTGCCTTTGATCTTCACTGACTTTTTAGATGGAGAGTCATGGGGCAAACTAATTATTTGTGGAGTTGATAAGAAGGTAAAATAAAATAGGTTACATCAAACGATTAGCACAGGACCTGGCATGTTGCCACATACCCAAGGTTTGACAGTGTCCTCCGTACATCACTAGTTCACAGTCAGGAAGAAAACGACCATTGACACGTAAACACAAATATGTAATTGAAGTAGTGTGCTTTTCTCTTGTGTCTGAATCACTTGGTAGTTGACATGTATTCTTGATAATTTTTCATTAATAGAAAAAGCATTTGCAGGTACAATGGGAGGGGCAAAGAGATTAGATATGTAATATTTGCAACAAGACAATGATGTTACTTGAAAATATCAAATGTACTGTTATGTGACATTATACCAGGTGCAGGCTCATTATAAAACATAATGTAAAATAATCAGTAGAGCCAGACATTTGTTGACATCAAACAAAAATTGGAAAAATAAACTCTTTGCACTCTGTGAGAGCAACAGAGATTGTTCATTTAGTAAGGCAGCATATTGGGTAGAATTCTCTACTGATTTTCTAAGAAATAGAGGAAGGTTAAATGAATGAAGTTTTTATAAAAGTTGACAATTTAGCATTCTAGGAAGAGATCATTCAAACAGAATTGGCGCTGGGGCTTAGAGCTGGGAATAAGATAATTGGAAGAGAATGCTGAGTCAAGTTTTCTGGAGTGCCTGGGCAGAAGTCTTTGGCAGAGGAGCAAGAGAGTAGCTAAGATTAATCTGTTCAGTGAAGAAACACTGTAGATTTCTAAAGTAAGCAATAAACTCAGAGGAAATGGTGGGTAAGATTCATTGATTGGCAGTGATTTTGAGAATGGGAAAAGGAAAAAAAAAAACAGAATTTCAGAACATAAAAGCATCAAAATCTAGCCACATAATGTATTTATATGCCCAGCTTAAAAATTTCTGTCAAGACAAGGTTATAGAGCAATCCCATACCACACTGATTTTTCCCTAACTTTATATGCACACGGAATTTCTGCACAATTTATTTTTTGGTGCTTATCAGAACACCTCCTAAATAGATCTAATATTTCATAAGCATGAGGATATTATGTTCTCTCTTCCTTTTGCCTCCAAACTAAATGCCTACTGCTGTTCGGGAAGCAGTTTTACTATACTTAGATCAGGCCTCTAGTGATATAGGTGGTGTAGAAAAAGCCTAGGACTACCTACATTACTAACTCATTTCATGCCTGTAGACAAATAATTTAAATTCTCAGAGCTTCAGCTTCTTTAAAAAGAAGATAATTATAACTGATTGACCACTGTCACAGTTATTGTAAATATTAAATACCACAATGTGTATGAGAGGACATAGAAAATTATCAAGCAACACTTAAATGGATGCTTTTAATCTATTTTATTGTTATAGTAGATAGAAACTTGGAATGACTTCTTGAGGTTAAATATGTAAGATGAAACACTATATAATTGCTATATATATATATTGGATCTAAGTTGTGGGCTAGGTTAACCCGGTTTTATTATAAATGCTAGTGATACATCTCCCCTATTTCTAGACACTGTGATACATGTAATCATTTCGTGTATAACTTCTCCACGAAAAATATAGACCCCATGAAGGCAGGGCCGGCAGTGTCTCTTGTATTCCCATCATTTAGAATGATGCGTGGCACAATAATTATTTGTTTGGGAGTCTGACTGATGGAATGGCAGATTAATAGTCACCGAGAGTGTTGCAGAAATATAACACAGCTACTTGGGTCAAGTTGAAAGCATAGTATCCCAAAATTAAGATGCTTTATATATACCCATCTGGATGAGAAACGAAAATCGCACATTGACCCATACTACCTGTTCCTGCCCACTTCTGGGATTTTTCTCTCTGCCTGACCGACTGCTCCCTCTCTGTGCTCCAGACATGTGGCCTTTCTGCTCATCCCGCACTCCAGACTCTCCAGGCTCACTTCTCACTGAGGGTCTTTAAAGATTCTTCGCCAAAATACTGACACAGCTGTCATTTAGGTTGCCGCTCATGTTAGCAATGCAGGAAATTCCTCCTTAACCACACCGTCTAAAGTCACCTCCCTACATTTGTATAAGCCTATTATATTTTGCTTACAATATCACTGGCCCCTTAATTAACTGCAGTTTACTGTCTTCTCATGTTTTGGCCCTCTTCACTTACTTAATTTTCCTCATAGCTTTTATAACCTGTTCTATATCTACACACATACGTATATATATTACTTATTTGTTTATTGTTGGTTTTCCTGCTAAAATATATTGTCATGAGGGTGGGCATTATTGTCTAATTTTACTGCTTGATTCCCTGTTTTGAACTATGCCAGACACATGGGAACATGTAATAAATAGTTTTTGTATGGGTGAATAAATGATTGAATGAATACGTTTTTGTTCTCTTTTTAAAAATTTTTTAAAGATTTATTTATTTTGGTGAGAGAGGGAGCATACCAGTGTGGAGAGGGGCAGGGGAAAAGGGGGAAAGAGAGAAGAAGTCTTCCCACTGAGCCTGGAGCCCAAGGCGGATCTTGATCTCACAACCCTGAGATCTCAACCTGAACCAGAATAGAGAGTCAGACTGACTTAACCACACAGATGCCCCTGAATGAGCTTTTTTTTTTCCATTTCAACCAGTTTTTTTTTCTCACTTTTTTTTTAATTTATTTTTTTTATTTTTTATAAACATATAATGTATTTTTATCCCCAGGGGTACAGGTCTGTGAAATGCCAGGTTTACACACTTCACAGCACTCACCATAGCACATACCCTCCCCAATGTCCATAACCCCACCCCCCTCTCCCAACCCCCCTCCCCGCAGCAACCCTCTGTTTTGTGAAATTAAGAGTCACTTATGGTTTGTCTCCCTCCCAATCCCATCTTGTTTCATTTATTCTTCTCCTACTCCCTTAACCCCCCATGTTGCATCTCCACTTCCTCATATCAGGGAGATCATATGAGAGTTGTCGTTCTCCAATTGACTAATTTCGCTAAGCGTGATACTCTCTGGTTCCATTCACATGGTCGCAAATGGCAAGATTTCATTTCTTTTGATGGCTGTATAGTATTCCATTGTGTATATATACCACATCTTCTTTATCCATTCATCTGTTGATGGACATCTAGGTTCTTTCCATAGTTTGGCCATTGTAGACATTGCTGCTATAAACATTCGGGAGCACGTGCCCCTTCGGATCACTACGTCTGTATCTTTAGGGTAAATACCCAGTAGTAAAATTACTGGGACATAGGGTAGTTCCATTTTCAACTTTTTGGGGAAGCTCCATGCTGTTTTCCAGAGTGGTTGCACCAGCTTGCATTCCCACCAACAGTGTAGGAGGGTTCCCCTTTCTCTGCATCCTTGCCAGCATCTGTCATTTCCTGACTTGTTAATTTTAGCCATTCTGACTGGTGTGAGGTAGTATCTTATTGTGGTTTTGATTTGTATTTCCCTGATGCCGAGTGATGTGGAGCACTTTTTCATGTGTCTGTTGGCCACCTGGATGTCTTCTTTGCAGAAATGTCTGTTCATGTCTTCTGCCCATTTCTTGATTGGAATCTTTGTTCTTTAGTTCTTTTGTCCTTTAGAACTTAGTTTGCTAAGTTCTTTATAAATTTTGGACACTAGCCCTTTATCTGATATGTCGTTTGCAAATATCATCTCCCATTCTGTCAGTTCTCTTTTGGTTTTGTTAACTGTTTCCTTTGCTGTGCAAAAGCTTTTGATCTTGATGAAATCCCAATAGTTCATTTTGCCCTTGCTTCCCTTGCCTTTGGCGATGTTCCTAAGCTGTTGCTGCGGCTGAGGTCAAAGAGGTTGCTGCCCGTGTTCTCCTCAAGGATTTTGATGGATTCCTTTCTCACATTGAGGTCCTTCATCCATTTTGAGTCTATTTTCATGTGTGGTGTAAGGAAATGGTCCAATTTCATTTTTCTCCATGTGGCTGTCCAATTTTCCCAACACCATTTATTGAAGAGGTTGTCTTTTTTCCATTGGACATTTTTTCCTGCTTTGTCAAAGATTAGTTGACCATAGAGTTGAGGGTCTATTTCTGGGCTCTCTGTTCTGTTCCATTGATCTATGTGTCTGTTTTTGTGCCAGTACCATGCTGTCTTGATGATGACAGCTTTGTAATAGAGCTTGAAGTCCGGAATTGTGATGCCACCAACTTTGGCTTTCTTTTTCAATATTCCTTTGGCTATTCGAGGTCTTTTCTGGTTCCATATAAATTTTAGGATTATTTGTTCCATTTCTTTGAAAAAAATGGATGGTACTTTGATAGGAATTGCATTAAATGTGTAGATTGCTTTAGGTAGCATAGGCATTTTCACAATATTTATTCTTCCAATCCAGGAGCATGGAACGTTTTTCCATTTCTGTCTGTCTTCCTCAATTTCTTTCATGAGTGCTTTATAGTTTTCTGAGTATAGATTCTTAGCCTCTTTGGTTGGGTTTATTCCTAGGTATCTTATAGTTTTGGGTGCAGTTGTAAATGGGATTGACTCCTTAATTTCTCTTTCTTCTGTCTTGTTGTTGGTGTAGAGAAATGCAACTGATTTCTGTGCATTGATTTTATATCCTGACACTTTACTGAATTCCTGTACAAGTACTAGCAGTTTTGGAGTGGAGCCTTTTGGGTTTTCCACATATAGTATCATATCTTCTGCGAAGAGTGATAGTTTGACTTCTTCTTTGCCGATTTGGATGCCTTTAATTTCCTTTTGTTGTCTGATTGCTGAGGCTAGGACTTCTAGTACTATGTTGAATAGCAGTGGTGATAACGGACATCCCTGCTGTGTTCCTGATCTTAGTGGAAAAGCTTTCAGTTTTTCTCCATTGAGAATGATATTTGCGGTGGGTTTTTCATAGATGGCTTTGATGATATTAAGGTATGTGCCCTCTAT